TCTTGTATTCCTGAGTCTTCTTTCCAATATCCTCATTGTCCATCACCTATCAGTCATTCTAGCTATGTGTCCTGTTCATCTCCATTTTAGTCTCGCTATCTTTTCGATGTCGTTAGTCACCTTGGTTTTTCTCCTGATATATTTGTTTCTTTGTGATGTTGTTGAGATGATATAGTTAGATCTGTAGCCATAACGAGTTCATGTACCATCTTTCTTGTCATTCCTAAGTCCTCAGTTATTATGACTATATCCTTAACAAAACGTAAGTTGTTTAGATATTCTCCATATATTTTTATTTCCTTTGTCAGCTAATCCAAATTCTCTAAAGCATGGCTGAGGATGCTAACTAGTCTGTAATTCTATAAATTTTCTTTGTCTTCTGCTTTGTGTAATAGAATCAGAGTAGCGTTGTTGAAGTCTGTTAGAATGTTGGCATTGTGAAACTAGATGTTAAAAAGTAGTGAATTTTTTAAGTAATATATCTTCTCCAATTTTTAGTGCTTCTGACACTATTCCATCTTCGCCTTATGTTCTAGTATTTTAAATTTTTATCTCCTAATTTGTTAATTTGTTATGTCGGGCATTAAATCTGATTCCTGTTGATATATAGCTCTGTGTAGAACTCTTCAATTATTAATATTTTATCTCTTTTAGCAGTTTCTTCTACAGCTCTGTTTCTTAGTATTGCTTATTTCAAGTTTTTATTTTGCATGCTCCTTCTCAAAACTTTAATGTCTTTAGTTTGCTATATAGCTTGTTCTTAGGGTCGTCTTATTTATTTAATTTAGCGCTTATTTGCTTATACTGTCATCTTTTTGTTTACTGGATAATATTTAGTTTGAGCCTATGGCATTGTGTTGACTGTTTAAAATATTGTTGTCTGTTGTTTTTGTCCTTTAATTAATTATCAATAGAGTTTTCGAACTACTGAGCAGGTATTAGTTGGTATTGCCCCTTTCTTTGGTTATTTGCTCTAGAAACAATCACTGCTCTTAGAATTTAAGCATTTTAAAAACTCTAAATAACTATTATGATGGTCGACCTCTCTACCAGAGATGACATTTAGAGAAAAAGAAGATTAGAAGTCTATTTTTATTTTTGCGTGTGCACATTTTGCACATTTTTTATTCTGTTGAAAAGTTAAAAAACTTTTTTCACCTATTAGTTTTTGTTTTGATACCCTAATTAATTTTGTTTGTTTATAATATATTATTTATTAGCAGTTAAGGTTAACTTAATGTCAATAACGAACTCTAGTAAATTATATAGATACTCACCTCCTACATCCTGAGCGAATATACATACTTATAGCATTAAATTTACATGTATTTGTGAACCTTCATCTAATAAGTAATTACTTTAAACAAATACTTGTTATTTAATAAGTTGATAAGCATTGGTTAACTGGGTAAAGGAAGTGGGTCATTATAATTATGTTCATTTTGTAGAAACAATATAATCGATGGATTTTTAGAAATGCGCAATGATTTGTATATCACTGAGCACACTTCTGTGTGGTAAGTTTGTCGTGGTCAATGTTGATAATAATTCTTTAGCTTTTATTATTCAGCTTGTATTGCTCTTTTTTTTCTTACTTATTGTTTATTTACCATCTCTACAAAGAAGGTTGGTAACCATTATGCCTATTTTTATGTTAAGTGTATTTGCCCTGAAAAGTTCGATAGATGAGCAACTAATTAAGTTGTGTAATTACATAGTTGTTATTATCTACTTGTTCAAAAGTTTTGTTGTTAACTAATAATCTTTCGTCGTTACTTTGTCATGATTTTGAAATCTTCATAAATGTTGTTTTTTTGATATTTATTAAAACGCTATATTCTTTGGCCCAATCAACTATCTTGTTCATCACTTCCTTCAAATATTTAAGATTTTCTTTTAAAATAACAGTATTCTCCCCATAATTAATGTTCTTAATTGATGTTTCATTGATCTTTATTGCAGCGAGACTTCTTTTCAAATTTCCTTCAGAGTATTCTTCATTAAAGTGTGACATTATATCCAAACTTGTCTCACACCCTTTTTAATTTTGATTTCATCTGAGGTGTTTTTATTAATGCGTATCATTGCTTGTTGTTTTGTAATTCAGATTTTCTTTGGTCTCAATGTCATTTGTTTTGCTTTTGAGACATTCATAAGGTGTTTTTAAAGGGGCTTTAGAAAACGCCTTATTATATTCTATAAAACAGAGGTAAATATATTTCGCATAGCGGAACTAAAATGGAGCTGGGCAGGCCATGTAGCGAGAATGCACGATTCACGATGGACGAGCAAAATTACAAATTGGAGGCCAAGAGCAGACAAACGCAGTAGAGGAAGACCACCTACACGTTGGGCCGACGACATCAGGCGTATCACTAAAAATTGGCAACAAAGAGCACAAAATCGTGAGGAATGGAGGAGTTTAAGGGAGGCCTATGTCCAGCAGTGGACGTGATAAATAGAGGCTGGATGATGATGATGATGAAATATATTTCTAGCATCTCTATATTGACACATTGACCGTAAAAAGTTTTTCTTATGTACGTACCGTCGAATTTAAGAAATCCAAAATTCGTGTCTCCTATATTCATGCGGAGTTTCTGATGTATCCTTTGATAGATGATCTTTAGGAACAATTTTTGTGCGTAGGATATCAGTCTAACGGTACCGTGATCGCTGTATTATCTATCGTTTGTTTTATTAGGGGACAAGATGAAATAGAACAAGTTAAGGATTATATATATATATATATATATATATATATATATATATATATATATATACATTTATATATATATATATATATATATATAATATATATATATATATACATTTATATATAATATATATATATATATATATCTTCGTCAAACTATAAAACTTAACAAAGAGAACAAAACAGCAGAGATCAAGAGACGAGTTAGACTGGCATGGGCGGCATTTGGCAAACTAAGCTACATTCTTAAAAACAAAAGATATCCACAGCATCTTAAGACCAAAGTATATAATCAATGCGTACTCCGTGTTCTTACGTATGGCTCCCAAACGTGGACATTTACAAAAGCAAACATGGACAAAATCATAAAAACCCAAAGAGCAATGGAAAGACAAATGTTGCACATAAGACTAATGGATAAGAAGAGAAACGAGTGGATAAGAGAGAAAACAAAAGTGAGGGATGTTAGACAAGGAGTTGCAAAATTGAAATGGAGATTTGCCGGACACAAGATAAGACAAAAAGAAAACCGATGGAACAACATTCTTATAAGTTGGAGATCGTGGGAATATAAACGAAGCAGAGGAAGGCCCCAAATGAGATGGGCAGATGATATCAAGAAGCACGTGGGCTCTAGATGGATGACTGTAGCGACAGACAGAGAAGAATGGAAAAGGATTGGAGAGGCCTATGTCCAAAGATGGACCGAAGAAGGCTAATTAGATAGATTGATAGATAGTTTTATTAGGGAAGAAAATAAACGTCAAAACCAACGATTCTTTAGGCGGGTCTCCTGATCTATACATTAAGTGGAGAAACCAAAAGGACGTATGACAAAAGATCAGTAGTCTGGCCCAGGCCTTGTTCTATTTTTTTTATATTTTCTAATTTTAGCTAAGTCTCGCTAATGCTTTTCCTTTTTTAAACTTTTGCAGGTACTATTTTAGATATTGTTTTCTGCTTTCTCTATAATTCATATTTCAGCCCAGATGATTAATTTTATATCCTTTTTTTTTGCTGATAGTGCTTCATGTGCAAATTATACAGGTTTTTCGCTGTGCGCTACTTTTAAGAGCACCCAATTTGTTTGGTCTTGTTTCATCCACATTAAAGTCTGGGTATTTTAAAGCGCAATACTTTTTACATTTCTGTTATAAATGCTTACTTTTATTCCCTTGCTTATGTCTTTGTACTTATCACACCTTATCTCCTTCTTCAGATGCCTATTTTGAAATTTGGATAACATGCTAACTACTATATTTTTAAACTTTGATGGTATACAAGGCAAATATCGAACACAGTAATTAATTAAATCTTGCCCAAGTACTTTCGATCAATAGATCATCCTCAGGGGCATTTCGTCAGTTGTGGCCTATCCGACATGAGCAGAATGTCATACATGTAAATTTGGACATAACAATACAATAGACAAAGACAAACAAACACTTTAATTTTTTTTAAAAATGCAGAAGCTACATATTATATAGAAGCCGGAGACAGAATGATAGCTTCTATATAACATGTAGCTTTTCCATTTTTAAAAAATTTTAAAGTGTTTGTTTGTCTTTGTGTATTGTATTGTTATGTCCAAATTTACATGTATGACATTCTGCTCATGTCGGATAGGCCACAACTGACGAAATGCGCCTGAGGATGATCTATTGATTGAAAGTACTTGGGCAAGATTTAATTAATTACTGTATTCGATATTTGCCTTGTATACCATCAAAGTTTAATTATTCGAACATTCAACCTTATATTGATTTACTATATTTTTGCCCCAAATAGATAATTGTAGTTGCAATTAAGCCACTTTTATCTTTCATGATATTTTTTCCCGTCTATACTTATATTCTCACAATTTTTTATTGGACGGTTTGTTTGTAGATTCTACACTTTAATGGATGAGTGAATTTTTAGTATTTTCTTCATAAAGATTTACATCGATATCCTAAGGATTCTGCTTCTTTCTAAACATTTAACAGGTTATTTTTATTTTAGCTTTATTGGTCTATGTTGCTCATGTTGCTTGGATGTATCTCTTAGCAATCTAAAAATATAATCTCTAAAATATGAGATTTTTTGGTTCGCTTATAATAAATTTTTTGATATTGTATTATTTTTAAGTCCTCTGTCGCTATCATCACATTTATTTTGTTAATTAAAAAAATATTACTTGTTAAAATACATTAAGATTAATGCGTTAATTTTATCTCGCTAAATAAACAATAAATTTAGTAACCAAAGGTATCATACTTAATTAACTGGAGCCTTCTCTTTTCAGATCTTAGCAGTTCTAGCCATTTCTGCCGCATATTGCGTAGCTGCACCAGCAGAACCAACCAAGGAACCCATTCCAATAGTTAAATTCGAAAATGAAGGAGTAAATGCTGACGGATCCTACAGCTGGAAGTAAGTTAAATATCTTAGGCAATAAAGTGTGCCCATAACAATATTACAAGGAATAATATTAAACAAGTTAAGCTCATTCCTAAATATATTATAAATTAGTCTCTCAAAAATTGAATACTGGCATAAAGAACCATACTATCTTTGATATTATCATCAGCTCAAAATCCTCTTCTTTATAAATTATTCTCTCTATTGCAGATCTTGGCAGATGTTTACTATTCATTTGTGTAAGACATACCATGATTGTAATTTAATTAATTCACGTGGTCTTAATAGTACTACACAAGCACATCTTAAAAGTGTACAGTCTTTGATCTATCGCATTTAATAGCCTTAAAACAATACAATATAATAAACATAATATTAGTCTAGGTGCTTCTTCAATGTGAGCTTAGATATTTTATATGTTGTGAGTTTTTCTTGAACAGTTCTGGTTGTTTTGATCCTACTTTATCCTGTTTATCTCTTAATTATTCACTGTCTTCTTCTTCTTAGGGTGCCTGTCCGTTCCGAACGTTGGCGATCATTCTGGCTATGACGATTTTGTTGGTTGCTATACAAAATAGCTATGTTGAGGTTTTTCTATACCATGCTCTCAGGTTAGCAAGCCAGGATATTCTTCTTTGTCCTGGGGCTCTTTTTCCTTCAATTTTACCCTGCAAAATGTATTGGAGTAGCTCGTATCTGCCTTGATTTCTCATAATATGTCCCAAGTACTCCAGCTTACGACTTTTCACAATGTTGACCAAATCCGCGGCTGTGTTCATCCTCCGCAGTACTTCTTCATTGGTGACTTTGTTTGTCCATGGTATCTTCAGGATTCTTCTGTATAACCATAATTCAAACGCCTGAAGTTTTGATAGAGTTTTCGCCTTTAATGTCCACGTTTCTACTCCATACAGAAGCACTGAGTATACGTAACATTTAAGGAGCCTTATTTTTGTTTTCAGGGTGAGGTCATGGCTTTTGAACACAGAGCTCATAGTCAAGAATGCACTTTTGGCCTTTCCGATGCGACATTTAATCTCTTGCATATTGTACCACGACTCATTGATTATAGTTCCCAAGTAATTGTATTGTGAGACACGTTCAATTCTCATTTGGTTCACATACAGATTTGCTCCAGTTATGTTTTGCTTTCTGATGATCATTAGCTTGGTTTTGCTGGTGTTTATATCCAGTCCATAGGTTCTACTTGTTTCTGTTATTTTGTTTATTAAGTTTGGCAGCTCTTCTATGGTATTGGAAAACACTATTGTATCATCTGCATACCGCAGGTTATTAAGCTTGACTCCATTTATTGAGATGCCTTCATCATTATCTTTTAGGGCCTCTTCAAAAATGTGCTCCGAGTACAGATTGAATATCAGTGCTGAAATTATGCACCCCTGTCTCACTCCTCTTAAGATTTTGACCTGTTCTGTATATTCTCCATGTATTCGGAGTACCGCTGATTGATTCCAATAGAGATTAGCTATAATTTTTAAGTCTATTCCATCAATCCCTGTCACTTATTATTATTCACTGTAATAGTTTTTAATATGTGTTTTAGTATTTTTTTTAATCCCCCAAATATAAATTTAACAGTAAATTTGATAGCACTCATCACTAAGAATTTTTTTTTGTTATATTGGTACTGGTTTTATAGTCTTACTATCTCATTTAGTGAGACAATATATTATGTTAGCTATGAGTTTTGTGTCATTTTCGTCTAATACCTTGCTCCTTACAATATTTGTGTAATTAATCATAACAAGAAGCATTTGCATAATCTAGGGAGCAAATGGGTACTTCCTAGATAATGTATCTAAACTTCTGAATTATGACCCTTTTATAAAAAAAAACCTTCTTGCGGTAATGCGACTTTTAGACCCACATTCTTTCTTTCAAAATTTCCTGGTATATCATGACTATTTACCTCTGACCCTTTAATGTATTTCATAATCCATCATCATAGGATTTTGCCATATGATTCAAGTAATACTGCAACATAGCGGTTATACATACATATGTACACCTGAAAATTGTTAAAAGCAACATTTTTGTTTTAGTTATGAAACCGGTAATAACATAATCGCTCACGAGCAAGGAACAGTTAAGGCCGGCGAAAAGCCCGATGAGTCTGAATTGGAAGTTGTAGGAGGTTATGAATACACCGACAATGAAGGCAACAAGGTACAAATCTCCTACATCGCCAACAAAGACGGGTTCCAACCTCAAGGAGACGTTCTTCCCACTCCTCCACCAATCCCACCAGCGATCGTAAGACTTCTGGAATACCTCAAAGCTCATCCATCTGAAGAAGACGAAAAAGAACAAAACAAAGTTTAAAATTTAGTTAGATAAATGGCAGTTTTTGTAAATATTTTGTAAATAAAATATATTTTAAAAAATACCTAATGATTCGTTAATAAGATTTATTCTTCAGACTGATTTCTAAGAATAACCCACACAATACTTAAGTGATGAAAAATATTTGATAGTATATAATATTGGAGGTTTCAGAGCAAAACTGAACAAAGTCCGCTTTTTGTCATTTACGTGTTAACAACGCACCAAATAGGTAACTTTTCAGTGTATTAATGAACCAAGTCTTAGTTCTGATAATATTAGCTAGACAGTAGCAAATTCTGGTATTTACTGACAGATTATTATTTTCTGTCAGAATTCTACGTAACAGTTGTGTATTGACGTCTTTAAAACTTTAGCTATAGCTTCTCACAGTTTATTACATAACATGAGACTTAGGCAAATATGCAAATAAAAAAATATGAAATATGCGCAATAATATGCAGTATTTTATGTAAAAATATGTATTTTTTATAAAAAATATGCATATTTATCTAGAAAATATGCATATGATAAAAAATATTTACAATATTTCTTTATTTACAAAAATACTTACAATATTGTAAATACATAACATATACAATTATTTTAACATATAAATATTATTTTGAATTTTGGTAACAATAGATTATCAAAGGATGTTCGAAATTTTCTAATAAAAACTTCTGGCTAATGGCTTCTATCTGAATACATATATTTGTAAATAGAAAAACTTCTTTCAACATCAACTGATGTAACTGGGGCATTTTTCAAATTTACTATAATAGATAGTTCTAAAATAAAAAAGATAAAAAGATAGAAGCATTTGAGTTGTGGATGTATCGTAGAATATTAAGAATACCCTGGACAGAGAAAGTAACAAATGTGGAGGTTTTGCGGGGAGTGCGGAAAGAGAAAGAGCTGATACTTACTGTTAAAAAGCGCAAACTACAATATTTGGGACATGTTATGAGGGCAGATAAATATCAGTTGCTGCAATTGATTATACAGGGAAAGATAATGGGAAAGAGATCTATAGGAAGAAGAAGGCATTCATGGTTGAAAAACTTGAGAGAATGGTACAATTGCACCAATTACCAACTCTTCAGATCTGCAGCATCAAAAATACGCATAGCTTTGATGATAGCCAAACTTCGGAACGAAGACGGCACTTTAAGAAGAAGAAGATGGTTCTAAATTAAGTGGTTCGAAAAATGTCCCAGCTAGTACTTGAATCACTTCAGAAAGAACCTGGTAACCACTATTTTGTTTCCATAGTTACTTTAAATTTGTAAAAATTTCCTTTCCAATAGTACTTTTAACGTTTTGACATAATGAATCAAATTCTTTTATTAAAACTGTACTCTCTAACAATACTAATTTGGAGAATTCTAATTGAGTTATAGTTTTCTGGACAAAATTATAATTTTATTTGATAAATGACAGTTGTTAAGGATGTTATTTTGGTACGTTTACTTAGCTTCTAATAAATATTGGCAACTATCATTTGTTAAAAGTTTAATTTTTTAAATCAACAAAATGATTAGCATAGAAATTAGCTGCTTCCAACCATCCCAAACGTATTAAAATGTGTTGCGGTGGCAGTGGAATAGCAGGAAGCATATCTCTGTTACATTGTCTTCTTACAGGAGATTTCAGTAATACTGTTAACTAGTGGACATTTTTTTCTTACTTCGTCTGCAACTCTGTCGATTCCATGCGCTAAACAAGTAACATGTATTAAGTTTGGATAAAATAATTTTAAATTTTGTCCTGATTTCACCATATATGGTGCAGCATCAGTTAAAATAAGCAACAATTTATTATTAGACACAGCAGTAGGAAGGAAGACGTTTGCTAATGCTTCTTGTAGAAACCGTGATATTGTTAGAGCGTTCGATTTTTCCACTTACATGAAATTCAATACGATTTTGGAAAGTTTCATCGCTAAGTACATCAATCAATAAGTGCACAATGTATTTTCCTGACGAGTCAATGGTCTCGTCCAGACATATGTAAAAATAATTATTGTACAAATTTACCATAAATTTGTACATTGTAAAAATCTTATATTTTCATTAAAAAAACTCCCCTTATATCTAAACTGGAACTAGTCCCAAAAACCAGTCCATTCTCGGTCCTGAACTGTTAGCAAGACCAACAAGTTTCTAAAAATCATATAGTCGCCAAGCAACTGTCTTAAGAAAAGGTCTGACAAGCAAGAGCTTTCTTCTTCTTCAGGTGCCATCTCCGCTACGGAGGTTGGCAATCATCATAGCTATCTTAATTTTTGAGGCAGTAGCTCTAAATAGTTGTTTTGAGCTGCATCCAAACCATTCTCTCAGGTTCTTCAGCCATGAAATTCGTCTTCTTCCGATGCTTCTTCTGCCATCTATTTTTCCTTGCATTATGAGTCGCAGGATGCCATACTTATCGCCCCGCATCACATGTCCGAGATACTGTAGCTTTCTTTATTTAATTGTTAGTTCAATTTCCTTCTCTTTGCCTATTCTTCTCAGTATTTCATTGTTTGTAACTCTATCTACCCAGGAAACCCTCATAATTCTTCTATAGGTCCACATTTCAAATGCGTTAAGTCGTCTCATGGTATCTAGATTTAACGTCCATGATTCCACTCCATAATATAGTACACTGTATACGTAACATTTTGTTAGGCGTACTTTAAGAGCTAATGTTAGATCTTTGCCACATAGGACCTTTTTCATTTTTATAAAATTAGAACGTGCTTTTTCGATTCTGACTTTGATTTCTGCCGTGTAGTCATTATTTTCTGTTATAAGTGTTCCTAGGTAAGTGTACTTTTTTACTCTTTCGATCTGCTGGCCCTCTACTATCAAGATTTCGTTAGTATTACAGTTGTTTTTACAAATTTTCATAAACTTCGTCTTTTTGACATTAAGAGAGAGTCCGTACTCCCTACTACACATGACTATTTTGCTCATTAGTCTTTCCAGGTCTTGTAAACTATCGGCTATTATTACTGTATCATCTGAATATCTGATGTTGTTAATTAAGACTCCATTTACTCTTATGCCGACTGTTTCATCTTCCAGAGTTTCTCGAATTACCTCTTCAGAATAGGCGTTAAATAATAGAGGTGATAGAATGCAGCCTTGCCTGACTCCTCTCTTTATTTCCATTTCTTCAGATGTCTCTTTTTCGATTCTTACTATTGCTCGCTGATTGTAATAGAGGTGTGTTATTAGCCTTAAATCTCTTTCATCTAGGTTTTTATTTTTTAGAATTTCCAGGAGTCGATCATGTTTTACTTTATCAAACGCTTTATTGTAGTCTATAAAACAGACGTAAAGAGGACGGTTAACATCCAAACATCTCTGTGTCAGCACATTGAAGGAGAATAATGCCTCTCTGGTACCCATACCATTGCGGAACCCATATTGAGTGTCACTAATATCCAGCTCCAGTTTAGAGTGTATTCTGGCGTGGATAATTTTCAAGAGAATTTTCAAGGTATGTTACATTAAGCTTATGGTTCGATAGTCACTACACTCTTTGGCATTCACTTTCTTTGGCAAACACACAAATGCTGATGTCAACATTTCTCAAGCAAGAGCTTGCGACCTGTCAAATTCATTTCTTTATTTATTCATTATTTCCTTATTTTCCAATTATCTAGTTTTTGTGGCCAGTATTGTTGGCAGTGAGTGCATGGTAACAAGAGTTAGATGCTGTGCCTTATTGTAAGTAGAAAACTTATATTTAATCTTAACTTTGCAATTGTTCCAAGTCGCGGTGTTGCCATATCGTGCCGCGAGTGCCTAAACGATTTGCGATCCAACAATTTTAACATTTTAACAACGATTTAAATTTACATGTTATACAAGTTAAACATTTACTTTTATCCATAAACTATTAAATGCTATTTTCTACAGTAATGTAGGCTATTTTTCTTCTTGCAATAAAGATACATTTTAAGGCTTTACATATTTAATATTTACACCTATCCCTTGTCAAGGGAACAACCTTTCAGGTGCTGGATTCTCCGGCTGGTCCTTCGAAGCTAAGGAGTATCTCAGAAGCTTTGTGCGATAAGAAAAATCTTTCTCCGAACCAGCAAAGTTCGCTAAGGCGAGCTCCTTATTCGTACAATTATTACCCATTTCGGCTTTTATGTTGTAGATAACTGAGTAGTATAACAAATTGACATTATTTCTCATTAGAGTTCGTTCACTGGAAATGTTTTGTTTGCAGTATTTTTTAAAAAATAACTAAAGTTTTCATTAGATGATTTTGAAAGCGGTATATTAGAAGATACTAATGCAAAACACTAGTCTTTGTTAAAAGTTTCTTGTTCGGTTTGTTTTTTGGAACTTGACTGAAAGCACTTGGACACTGAAGGTTGATATTTTTCACCTTCCTCGAAGTATCTTCCTCGAAGACACTTCGTCTCAGGACCATTTTACCTATGTAGGGTCATACGTCGCCATGTTACAAATTCCAACGGTAACTTAAACATTATAATTTGTAACCACATTATAATGTTAAAAAACCGTCATCATTTAAAGGGTTTTGACCCATATATTTTGGTGGCTCATAGCATGTATACCTCGTTTACACTGATGATGGATTTAACAATCCGAAAACGTTTTGTAATATATTTGTGATAGCCCGTTTGGGCATTTTATTATATACCTTTTATAAAGTATTTGAAATAAATTTTTTTATATGTCTCTTGTGCCAGTTAAACGACGCAGACAAAATAAGGAAATGAAAGAAAGGAACGCAACAGTTTGTTACATGTTAAAGTCTGATAAAAATATGGTTAGGGTTTGCAAAACTTTTTTCCCTGCTGTTTTTGGCGTAACTAAACACATACTTATCACTATTACAAAGGTTTTTAAGGAAGGAGGTGTTTCGAAGGAGAAAAGGATAGGTGATACAGTATCCAAGAAAACTTCATCAAAATAAAAAAAAGTACGACAATTTATTGGTTCTTTGCCTAGTAAAGAAAGCCA